TATAAATTTGATGTTGAACTTGTAATTAAGATATATAATGGATTACGACCAAAGTTTGCACTTGGAACTCCTAATTGCTATATTGAATTAGCAAAACAATGCATGGATTCAGATCCATGCAAACGACCAACTACTAATGAAATTATTGCCAAATTAAATGAATGGTTAAAACTTGTAAATGATGATTATGACGAATATTATGACGAAGAAAATTTAGAAATTTTTTTTGATGAAATTAAAGGCATTTTTATTGATAAAAGTGATAGAGGTGAAATTGAAAAGCAATTTTTAGAAAGTGATATGATCAATGAAAATTTACCAATAATCAAAGAAAAATTCCACACTATATATACAAGTATATATACAAGTAAACCATTAAACACATTGGAAATTAGCAAAAGATTATCAAACTTAAATCTAAATGGTAGTAAATCTGTTGGTATAGAAATTCAAATTGATTTTTAACGATTATTCTTTTGTTAAATATTTTAAGTATTAGGTATATATTAAGTATATATTAAGTATTATTGAATAAATCTTATCATTTAAATTATTTTTTCGTAAAAAAATATTTGTAAAATCTAAATATTTACCAATTTTCTGATTCGGAAATTTAAACCAGAAAATAAGCTCTTTTAAACGCTCATTTATTTTCGAAACAAATTAATTTATTTTATAATAACAAATTTAATTTCCGTATAGATGATCAAAATTTTTTTTTGAGAATCCACGAAGATGAGTGGGTAAGTCTGAACAATAAATGAATAATGACGGATTATAAATTATGAGGTACAAGATTTTTTTACTCTATAAGTATAAATTATTCTAAATTCAGATAATTTGATAAAAAAATTTTTTTTATACGAGTTAAACTCAATACGTATTGCAGTAACAAAGAAAAAAAAGGTTAACAATGGTATATCAAGTGTATTGATAATGTAAAAAGAATATCAATAAATAAGATCAATTTCTATACGTAGGCTTCATTACTTTCGTTATTATTGTATATACTTAGCAGAAACTTGAATTTTTGCTATTTATGATTATTATATGATATTTATGTAACTATTATATGATAAAAATATTTTTAATCGGTTAAGTTACCATAACAATATTTGTATCATATTGTTAAGTGTTAAGATATTACTTTGCTAAATTCTTACATTTTTGCGAAAGCAACAAAATATTCTAGATTTAGTATCATTTAATAATATAAAAAGGAAATTTCCATGATAATTCGTAAATTTAGGTTCTTACTAGCACGATTAACGAGGTTTTAATAAGGATTTTTGAAAAAATTCTAATTTTTCGTATTTTTTTTTCAAACCATCTTTTTAAAACCTCGTCAAAACCTCGTTAAAAGTGCTAGTAAGAAACTGAATTTGTGATTACTATAAAAGTTTCCTATTGGAAACCCATATTATTAATAATTTTTACTAGATATAGAATATTTTGTTGCTTTCGTAAAAATGTAAGATTTTAGCAAATTAGCAATATTATTTAATTATTTTAAACAGAATGCTATTTTATATCAATTTATATTATAATTTATAGTAAAATCGGCTTTGTATTAATAATAATAAAAAATTAGTTGATATTTATTTTGTAGTCTTTACACATTATTTGTTTTTTTTGTAGTTATATATAAAATTTTTTCAAACTTTTTATTTTTTTATTATAATTTTCTTGTTTTATTTTTTGTTAATTCATTTTTGCTTCTATTTAACTATTCTATATTGTTTCTTATTATAATACATTCTATACTATTTATCATTTTATCCTTTACTAGCATGATATAGTAACTACTGTATATAATTGAGTTTGTATTAGAACAATTATGATTTTTATTGTTAGTTTCTATAAAAAATTCTGTTATAGTATTTAATATAATTTTTATCACAAGTTGATCAAAAAATTTTACTACAGAACTTACTTGTTATATATTATATTATAAATACTATAAATTAGAGGTCCAATCCGGATAAATCTGTTATCCATTTATCCATATCTGAATTTATCTGGATATCCATTTACTATTGGTATCTGGATAATCCAACAAATATTCAGATAATTGTCCGAATATCAATAGTAAAATGGATATCTGAATAAATTCATATCCAATAGATAAATGGATATTGGATAATAGATAGGAACTCTACTATATATGATTTTATTACAGAAGTTATTTGCTTTTTCAGTATTAAGATAAGTTAGTTTGTATTAAAATTGTTTAATTTATTTAAAAAATTTTATTACAGAACTTATCTATTTATTTTGGTGACCACAATAATGTTGAGTTAGTTTGTATTAAAATTAACATAATTTATTTATAAGTTATTAAAAAAATTCTATTACAAAACTCACTATTCCGATTAAAATAAGTCTATATCAGTTAGGGTTTTCCCACAATATGGAAATAATCTGCAAATATATTAGAAAAGTATTCTAAAAATTCTAAACCCGATTTCAATTTAAAATACAAAAGTATTTTTTATTATTGGAAAATAACAATCAGTTTTAAAAAAACCTTTAAAATTTTTTTACAAAAAGTATTCTAAGATATGTAGTTTAGGGATCCATGTGGATCCCAGAGGCTTTATAAGGCCGTTGTGTACTAAATATCAAAAGTGTAACAATGCAGTCAATAATTAGGCAATAATTTGGCAAAAAATAGTACTACAGAATTGCAGATCTTTACCAAAAAACGTAAAGATTTGCATTACACAAGTTTGAAAAAACCCTGACTATATATAGAATTTTTATTATGAATTAATTTATACAAAATTCTACTATGAATTTATTTACTACTCTAATAAACATAATATATAAATAAGTTTGGATTAGGGAAGAGACAGAAAACACGTGTTTTTTATTTTATATAAGGCTACTTTTCCTCTCCCAGGTGATCTTTAATTTTTTTTACATATATAGATCTGTTATTTTAAAAAAACTCCCTCCCTTAAAAAACATGTGTTTTCTGGCTCTCCCCTTATTTTGCAATAAAATTATTTTAATTTTTATTATCTGTTATATTATAAATAAATTTGTTATAGAACTTATTAACTATCTTAATTACTATAATATATAGTTAAGATTAGTTAGTTTGCAGTAAAATTGTTGTAATTTATATATATATATATATATATATTTAATACTAAGGTGACCACTTAGGCCCCTAGTATGTAGCTTTATTCAAATAGTTATGATATTACATCAAATTCACAAGGATACAACTAGTCACACATGTACTTTTGGTACCTAATTTAAGTAGTCCACCTGGATTCTACACTAGCCACCATACTTGCAATCTAACTAGAAGATTACCTATTTAAGCTTTCTGATTATTACTAATGAGAGTATAACTAGCCATACATGCAACTTTTGGTTATCTATTTAAGTAGTCTGCCCTAGATTTCACACTAGCTGCCATACCTGCACCCAACTATGAGGAATACCCATTTAAACCCTCTGGCTCCATTCTTGTAACATGTCTACTCTAACACTCTATTGAGATTAGCAATGCTATAAAATAACCCTAAGGCTTTAGCCACATGAGCATTTATCCTTGTAGTAAACTTAACAGTGTGGTACATGTCTCATACATGCACTTACCTGCATATTTGATACCTTTTTTTCCAACTAGTACCTGTTGTGCTGCTGCCACCAGAATCATATCTCAAGCTATCTTTTTGGATACTGCCATAACCCAATCTGTATCTCAAACTACAACCTTTTTAATTAGGATTCTATTATTTACTCCTTGCCCTTATAAGGTTTACAACAACCCCACTACTTATATTCTAACTTCCTTTTTCCCTAAATTCTTTACAGGTCTCTTCCTTACTTTCATCTGTTAACCCAAAAGGGTTGGTCTGCCCAGGTTTTAGGTGCTTCACAGTCGCCCTTCTCTTGATACATGCTTCTAGAGTGTATATTCTTTTCTTTCAGTTGGCAGTCTGGTGGTTTGGCTAGTATATCATCTACTTAAAAATCTGGTTATTTAGTTCTTCGGTCTTGGTTCTCAGTTTCAAATTTGGCCTTCCTGTAGCACCATCAAAGATTATTGCTACTTTACACTTGGGATTTACCAAACAGATTTTTAGCAATTTTGGTTTCCTAGATTTATTGCACCAAAGCTTCTATTTGAGATAGTATGACCAAGACTTCAGATATCTGGATCTAACTGATAATCTTAACATTAACTGATACAGATCTAGTTTTTTCAAAATCATCCTCCATGAGA